GTGGACCTCCGACTAGGAGACTCGCCTGATGACTTAGATTATGGTGACGACATAGTCCTATTCGGTGTAGACGTTGACAAAATACAGTCTTCTGACTACCCTACGCAAGAATGCAAGCATGTTCGGGATGCGGTCTTCCAACTCGAAATGTAAAATGTTGTTTCATGATTAAGTTGCATCGGTACCTGGACTAGTGATAGAGAAGGACGTTGTTGAGCGTGTCAACCGCTTCACTTATCTTGGTAGTCTCCTGAGTACTCATGTCCTGGTGACCGACGAAATCTCAGCACGGATACACAAGGCTGGACTGGCTTTTTCCAACCTGCACCACATATGGCGTAGGCGAGATACCAGTATGTTGACTAAAGGACGAGTGTACTGCGCAGTAGTTCGCTCCGTCCTACTTCATGGCTGTGGAACGTCACCAGCCAGAGTAGAAGATATTCGTGGGTTACTGGCTTTCGATAATAGGTACCTCCAAAGTAGTGCTCGTGTATCATGGAACAAGTGAGTAAGCAATGCCGTCGTTAGGAAACGAGTACTAGTTAAGGATGGTAGGTCAATAGACGAAGTATTGAAAGTTCATCAGTTGAGGTGGTTGGGACATGTGTTACGAATACCCTACCACCAACTGCCTCGACGAGCTATGTTTTGTGGTGTAGGAGTAGGTTGGAAGAAAGCCAGGGGCGGCCAAAGCAAAACATGGCATAAATCCATGGAGTCACTGACAACTGGATTGGGTCGTGTTGGTAGATGTAGACTACCTGGTTGGGGTGCGCGAGTAACCGATGATTAGAGACGTTGAAGAACATGGCTCAGAATTATTTTCAACGGTGCAGGTGCATCCACTCTTTGTGTTCTCTCAAATTCTAACCCTCTAAATTCCTCATCATCTCTATCTTCTCGTTCTAAATTTTTTTCGGTGAATTATACTTCTTAAATAATATATTCGAACCCTGATTTTCTCCATTACCGCCAATATTTCTATTATCTCTGCCAATATGGAATTTAAACTGATAATCGCGTCTCTGTGCTCATGTTATATGGCTACCTGAAGTGATGTACTCACTGAAATCTATAAATTCATTAGTCATTACAGAAATCAACTGATATCTCTTAACCTTTTGGTTTTGGTAGTCGTTAGATATTACTGATGTTTCTACATCTGTGTGGAAATCGGGCGAAACGTCACATTCATGGTTGACTTACTCCCTCCATAGCCGTTCTTGAAATATATCCTTAACTTTCTCATCATCTTTATGTTGCTTTTTTGCATCCAGAGGCAAACACGTCCCTTCATTTGAATATGATCAGAGTACAAACATATGCTCTAGAATGAATGACATTCTTCTCTCGAGTCTTATGGCAATGCGGCTTATCTGGACTCATCGTTAATTCTATTTTGGGGGTCGCCATGTTAGTCTTAAATATTGTGTCTGCTAAAAGTAGATGGCTATTTGACCAGTTACAACATAAAGTCATCGCTATCTGTTAGCTGATCTGCTACACCACAAGAACCACCTGTGTGCGTTTCAAGGAGGCTGGATGTATTTCTAGGCCATATATTTTTTACTTTATCTGAGTTTCAGGCAGCGGCTACGGTGTGTTCCTATCTGTCTTCGCTCCGACTGTTCTATTTATTCGAACAGCGCACACGCTATCGTCTATCGGTATCCAACCTAGGGGAACCTATCCTGTTTCTAAAACCAATATTATGCACATGCTAGCAAGATCAAAAGAAATGGCACTCGAGTCTTTAGATGCTTTAAGAGTAAATGCCAGTTCTTCATATTAGCTAGGTAATATAAAGTGAATGATTACACTTATATCCTCTATGTAGATTTCGGAGACGCAGCGTATGTTGGAAGCATAAGGTGCTACACAGTTCTTAACCACTGAAGTCTGTTTTGACCTAAGGTTGAAACGCTTAAATCCTTAACACGTAGTCTAGACCGTGATTTTCGAAGGTCAGGGATGACGTTTCATGAACTCAACTCTTTAGCACCAGTGGTGCGTAGAGATAAACTCAGGACGAAGGTCAGTAGTGAGGATAGGTAAAATTTCAAGAAGTGAAGAAGGAATTCGATAATAAAGTGATTTCAAATTATGTTAGAACGACGGACAACGTTCTCAACTTCCGTAGAGAGAGAGTTGGAAAAATAGCTGAATCAGTAGTAGTGATCTTAATGATTTAAGAGCGTAGCTGTTACGCCTAAGGACCGACCAAACACGATATTTGTGCAAGTTCTTCATGTGTTAGCTGTGTGTCTCTAAAAGCCTTATTGTTGGTGACCGAAATCTGTGGGATAAGTTGAGGTCTTATATTTTTATGGTTTACCTCTTCCAAAGCTAACCTTCCGTTGTGAGAATGCAGTATCACTGCGGATGCTAGTTGTTTGAGGGAAAGACCAGACTGCCACCATACCCCTCTACAGTCAGCAATGCTCCCTCAAACCTTAAGTTACCTGCTTTAGTCTTAGTGCTCCTCAACAGACCTGCCTGGCATGGTGAGTCTTAAAGGAAAAAATATTCCAACCAATATACTCAGATTGGTTCAACAATATGGGCACTGCATCAAGATAGCAGCTATTTAATGTGCATTCCAGAAGACTGACGCCAATATGGGTAATGTTCGATGCTGTTATGACGTTAGTTTGTTTGTCATGGGGTGAGCCTGGAACACCTTCATGACAAGAGTTTTGCTGTTTTTAAGACCTGGCTTCCGAGTTTAGGTTATGTGGTAATTTCCTGTGTTCGGTCATTGTTATCTCCGAACAATTGCTAATATCCAGTTTCAGCACTATGTTGATGGTGCTGCAGTTCGGTAACGTGCGACTGAGGGCAGGGCAGGGAAGATAACTTAGTTGGTGTCAACATCCTTGAACCGGCCTCGGTGTCTTGGACATGTTTTTCGAGGGTCATGCCAACGGCTTTCAGACCTCATATTAATTAATTATTCTGAGAACGGTTAGAAAGAGCGAAGAGGTGGTCAGTTTATTGCTTGAGACTATGGTGCAATCCAGTGTCCTAAGACGTGATTAGACATATCTCAAAATAGAACTACTAGCAGTCCTACTGTACTTTTATCTTATAACCATAAAAAATGAGAGCACAACTTAACTAAGAGATTTCGGAATTGCCTCGTTTGTATTCTTAACTGAACTGTTTCTCTTAAAATTGTATTCATTTATTTACTCTGAAGCAGTGGCTTTCAGTAAATCATGAAACGTCAGAAATGCAAATTTCTACCCATTGAGATATCATCAAAATTTGTAACAATTTGATAGTTAAGAACTTTCTATCTAACGCTCAATTTCTTTAGAATTTTCAAGTCTCTGACCTTGGTATTGATACGTAGGATGCGAATAACGTCGTGTTTGTTGTTCAAGTATACAGCTCAAAATCTCCGATACAAACTTATCGCAGTTGCATTTTGTTTTGATAATGTCAACATTTGAATATCAACTCCTAATCTAGAATTAACTGTATTTCATATTCAAACAATACCACATAACATACTCTGCACATTCCTTTTTAATTTATGGTCACTGCCTGGAATCCCAATAATTACTTCAAGTAACCTTCCTAACGTGTAAATTAAATCTTCAGTGTATCAATGGTGAAACTAAGCGATAAACTATCATCCTTGATGATGATGGGTAGTCTGACTGAGTACCAGTTATCAGTCAATAATTCCTCATTACTCTTGAGGTGGACTTTAGTTAATTATAGAGAACAGTTTCAGTTAATAAGTCTTTCACAGTTACTACAATGTTATGTCATGCAACATTTCTCCTGCAATGTTCTCCATAAAACCAGGTACTTTTGGAGCCAATGGTACTGACAGTGCTTTATATATGGAGTCAATTAAATCGCGATGTTATTGTTCAGTTTTGGTTTGGTATGCAGTTCAAAGCAATGTACTTTCCTTGGGTCTTGGTGATATTTAACTTAATAGTGCGCGGGAGGTTAGTCTCTGTTTTACAACCAACATATTATTTGTAACTGCAGTGCGATGATGGAACTGGTTGGAATTATCGTTGGACATCTTTACTACTTCTTCGTTTTCCAATATCCCCAAGAGTATGGCGGCCAAGCTATACTAAAGACTCCTAGTTTTCTGTAAGTAATTTATCCATATGAATCTGTCTGTTAAGTTCAACTTATTTCATATCATTGTCACCATATAATTAGCAAAATTAAACTCAAACTTTTGTAAATAGTGTGCTTTCGATATCGAAATCACTATATATGGTTTAAACTTGTAAACATCTAAAATCGTCAGAATTTGATGAAGTCCATCGAACTTCGTTTGAAAAACCCTTCAGAATTACTACTAAGTCTTAGTTCATGAATATGCACACGTAAAAAGATGAATGGAAAGTTAAGGCATCAGAATTTCTATTCATTGTGTTGTACATTTATTTAGGCAATGTCCTATTCCTTTAATTAACTTAGTAACCTAATTCACTATCTTAAAGCGTGGGTCGAAACCGAAAACACAAAGTGATACTTGAGTACTTAATTTCATCATCAATTATCCAGTAGCGTTCTCTAGCTTAAAAATTAATCAAGTTTGACTTTTTCATAAATACCAACTCTTTTCAAGTTCAACTATATTTTATATCTTATTTGAACAAACCACTGTGCAGAAACGTTTTGTAACGAAACAAGTCTTATTATCATGTTTGAAACCCTTTTGTACTATCAACCCCTTCGTCTTAAGTGCAAGAAAAGGTGAACACTATTTTACGCTATTCGGCTTGCGAAATGGAAATTCAAGCTTAGAAAATCTAAATCCAGTCTTTATGGTGTAAATCGATTGCATGTCTCTTGTTCGACTAAATAGAACAGTAACACTTTAGAAAGATATATATCTATTATCTAAGCACATAAAACCTGATTCAGCAGGGCACCAAAAAATGAAATGTGCAACACAAAGTATGAGTAACACAGGTAAAACGAGTACGGTTTAAGTAAAAAAGAACAGGCAAATAATCAGAACAATTCACAAGAACATTACATAGTAAGTGAAATAGTTTAGTTTAAAATCCGGTCAACTCTGCTATGGCACTTAGTGCAACACCAACCATAGCTAAGCCACATGACGTGGTCCCAGGATAAGCACGCGTGAGACAAGCCTTTTGAATCTACGAATTGGTACTGAATTTGTAGTACTCCAGTCATGAATACGCATTCAGGTGTACAATAGACGTCGTGTTTTGTTTAAAAACTACTTATCGAGCCTTGGCTAAGGCGTTCGATCCATAAAGCAGTAAGCAACGCTGGGAGAAGTAGTCCTACGATGGTGGTGACTAAAATAAATTTGTCGCTTAAGGATCCAGGAGCCCATGTGAACCATTGATGTAGTATTAGTTTCCCGACTGCCATGGCTATATCTCTACTGCCCATCAACCTGGGTAGATCGCCGGATGTTTGCTTCCACTTTTATGAAAAGCATCCGCCACCAGAGGGCAATAACGGCATCCATGTACGCCTGACCATAAGCGGGCGGTGTCAGGGCATTTGTAGATACCACTGCTTCTTTGTTGTCTGCCTATGCTCCTCCTATATTGGGACAAGCATCAGGTGTTTAGGTAATCTTGTTATATGTCACTGGTTTCTGTTATTTATGTATGCTCACTTTCTGCATGATTCTCTAGTAAAAGATCACTGCATGCTCACGAGAAATTTGGAAATTCTGCACCACTCATAACCTTCAGCTCTCTACCGAATGACTATCAGCTTAAAAAATCTAGCTAACACTCGGAGAATATGACTACTTTTCTGAACGTGTGCAAACATAATGTGGAAACCGTCCACACTGTAGTGCTTAAGCTAACAAAAAAATAAGTGCAGAAGTGCGCGTATTGTGTCCAGATAATTCACGTCTTACAATATGTCCATATGATAAATACTTGCAAGTTAAAATGCTGGTATCCCAAGTGTTTGTCTCATCATAATTAAAAATCTTTCTCGATGTATTTAGACTTTCTTAATTATTTCCTTATTAGTACTTAAGCATTAAAATAACTTGAAAATGTTGCACTCGAGTTCGATATACTCCAGATTTATTTGTTATGGTTAATCTATTTGAATTCGAAATATTTTTTTAATGTGCACAAAATTGAAATAGTTTTAAGTGACACCAGTAAATAAACGGAAAAGTGCTTAGAAATGCTAGTCTTCATACTGTCATTGAACATTGGAAGGGATGATTAACCTCACCTGAAACATCATTATCGAAACCCAATCACTTAACTATCCTGTAGGTATATGTGATAATCATCAGATAAGGGAATCACTGCATGAATATCCAATCATATTCAATGAACATGACTACTTTGTCTAACAAATATTAAAAGTTCTCCGATCGTTAGTTTCCTGGATTCGTATCGTATTTGCGTCTCTGTTCTAAAGTGGTATGGCAACATGAACTTATGTACATACATACGAAGTTCTACGTTTCAACCGACTGACTGATCCTCACTAGTCAAGATAATTTTAATGTAAGGTACTCAAAAATTTACATCAATGTATTATTTTTGTATTTCTTAGATACAGACTATTTCCGAACCAAAGAGGTGTTGCAACCGGTTTTGGAGAAGCCCCACGCGCAAGACAACCGACTGCAACTACAGGGAGGTTTCCCGGACGCGGTCAGGTTTTGGGAAACAATGAATAGGACTTCTCAACCGATTTGTATATTAAACGAGTAAATAGAATAAAGACTATTACTTCTTGATTTAATGTTGATACTGATAAAAAAAAGTGGCAGTTAATACGTAGTAAATCTGCGTTCAGAAATCAAAACTATCTATTAGGCCTAAGAAAGTCATAACAAATAAGGACGTCCTTTGAAACATGTGAATAACATCTTAGCCAAATCCCAACTTTGTGCGTACGAAAGCACGTGAAAAAGAACTTGAGTTCACTAATTTTATTATTCGATAAAAAATAAGCGACTACTTTTTGTCTTGATACTTTGGGTTTTACGCCCGAAGCATTTGACCTGCTCTATCGGTTTTTTCTTGGATGATCGATAAGTGACACCATTCTGACTCCCTAATGGTCTGATGTAACATATGGATTCGGTGGCTTACACAACCAGCGTAAATGCATTTATTCACCCGAAATAACACAGCTCCATTTTACCGTCATCTAGTTGATTGTTCTGAGAGTGAACTATGGTTTCACTTTCTTGGGAGTTTCGCTAACGATTGAAGTCACATATTCTTACTGGTCGCACTCACTTTATCCTTCATAAGGTCTGTGAGGTATCAAAGCTAGAAGTTTGATTATAATTGGAAAGTCTTAGTGTTTCCACAGCCTGTTATATTCTGAAACTCCATGCTGGCATTCTTCGCTTTCCGACCACCTTGGCCTTAATTATGAGAGCTAACCGAAAATTTATCCGGGGTAGATAAATCGGATGGTCACGGTAGACTCAACCGCCGCTTCAATGTATCAGCTAAGACCAGCAAAGATGCGCGTTTCCGATAGTGTTGCGTAGACGGCAAAACGATTAAAAAAATGTTTGGGGCAAAAAAGCTGGTATTTAATCATTGGTACAATATTTTAGCCGTGATTCAACTCACGGCTGATACTTTGGTTGATTTCGAAAAACAGATTGTGTATGATCCGTAGTCTCAAAAATAATGAGTACGTTTATTGTTAAGAGAGCAGAGCTAATACTCAAGAAATCTTTCATAAGAAGGCCGTGCGTGACCGGCCTCAAGCAGTTGTCACTTGGACTCTGCGATCACGCTCTCAGGTCTCTAAAACCAACACTAATCTAACTTCCTTTTCATGTCTCTCAAGAAACAACCTTCCACGGTGTTGACAACCGGGAAGTGACAACCTCCTTCATACCCGTAACGGCACTCGAGACCAAATTGGTCGAAATCAAATCCTTCCTACACCTCCTAACATCTCTTATCTCCACGACAAACTCTTCTCACATTACTTTATCACCCATTACCGCTAATGCAAACGATGCGAGTTCACGAAACGTCATTCCTGGTCTCTTGAAACCTCGTTCTAGTTTACATGTTGGAGCCTTTAATGTTCGGACATTGTGTTAAATAGGGCAACAAGCTTCCTTAGCTGGGACTCTCGAATCTTACGCCATCGATGTATGCTGCGTCTCGGAAACGTGTATACGGGATCCTTGTAAAATTATTAATCTGATTTCACCTTGTTAAAATAAAGAAGCAGCTCGATTTACTCTTCGTGTATCCGGTAGCTCTGATGAACATGAACCAGGGTTCTTGCTGGTGTAGGTATAGCATGGAGTCATAGAGTAGAACTACCCTAGACTGGATCCCAGTAGATAGTCGATTGTGTGCTGTCCGACTGAACAGGACAGTGAGGACTCGTAAAGATAGGTACACTCGCCGTTGTCTCTCCATCGTATCTACCTACCGACTGAGGTTCACACAAGTTAAAAAATGAATTTTACAGAAACCTTTCGAACCTCGAAATTGTTGAGCGCTCTGATATAGTAATAATGGCTGGTGACTTTAATGCTCAAGTAGGTAGACTAAGTGAAAATGAAAGACCTGGGTGAATGTTATGGTGTCGCGGCTCAGAGAACAGACAATGGTGACCGTCTGTTGCAACCATGCTCAGATAACCGTCTATTCTTAGCAAAGACTAATTTTAGGCATAAGGAAAAACATCTTTTGACCTGGCGACTTGCGAAGTTGTCACAACGCTGGACCTAACTAGATCTCATTGCCATCAGCCACCGATGGAGGCGTTCGATAGAGGAGTGTCGCTCGTTCTGTGGCACATGTTTAGATTCAGATCATGCCCTAGTGCGAGCGCCTATTTGTTTGAGGCTTACTGGACGCAGGAAAGACCACGAGGAAACCTCTTAGGGTTTTACTGATTGATAATAAGGCGAAGAATATATTTCAGGAACAAGACAGTTAGGCGACCATTTAAGCGATTCCCATCCGGAGACAGGTTGGAATGATATCAAAAAGGCTGTGCAAACAGCAGTGATATTTACTAGTAAGGTAAACCATAAGATTAAAATGAAGCCGTGGATCTCCGTAGCATCTACCGAACTGATGGATGCTCGAAAACTCATCACACCTGGCTCTGAGTGCGATGAGAAGCAGAGTGAGCTTAGACGTAGGTTGATAAAAAGCCTTACTCAATGATCGAGAACAGTGGTGAGTGGCGAAAGCGAGAGAGATGGAAAAGGCAACGGCGATAGGCAACCATTCAGACTCATCATGGAAACCGGTATTAGGAACCCAGATGTGAGTGAGACTATTTCGGAAAAGGGATTCTCTAGTTCAAGTGGTGTCTGTCAGTGTTGACCTATTTCCCCATTCTTGTTTACTTTGTCGTAGATATGCTTCTCGAGTTCACATTATCGTCTGACTCTTCAGGG